TGCTGATATGACTTGCCTACTAAGCTCAATGTGAGAAGAAAGAATTTGAATATCTTAGCACAAGCTCACGGAACAGTATGTCCTTCAATGTTGGAGTAATAGAGGAAACCACTTTCTGCAACATCTTTTTCTCTGAAACTTTATGGCTTACATTCCATGTTCATGTATGTGAGCATATTTCAGAATTCTCTGTATAATAAATTATGACTCTCTCCCATACATATTAAGTAAAAAAGATTTTTAAAAAGTATATAGTGAGTTGGATACTGTAGTTTATCTGAGAAAGCAAAAAGAGTACAGATACATATACATATTTGTTTATAGTTCTAAAAATCTGAGTGTAAGTCATAAAAAAGTGTAAGATGTTCATTTGGAGAGGAAGAGAAGGATCAGGGTGGAAGGACAGAAATAAAACCTAGACTTCACTAAAAACATCTTATTTTGTAAGCTTGACTTTGGAAATATGTAACTGTTTTACATCATTAGCAGACAAAATTAAATCCTAATTTTTAAAAAAGCTGTCTTTAAAAACAAAAGCAAAATAGCACAAGTAAATTTAATAACCATATAGAGTTTAAAATGACTTTAAAAACAGTAGTATGTACCAAAGGACTTACAATAAGGATGAAAAGAGAAAAATCTTTAACTGTTTTCAGTAATAATTGCTAAGTAGTAATATTGGTACTATTGTTCTGAAACCATGTTTATGTATAGTGACACTAATATATTTACATATAATTGCTATGATTTGTTTATATGTGAGCTCATTTATGTAAGTTGTGTGTATATGTAATACACAGATAGATACAAAAGAAATGTGTTATGAAAACAAAATACAATGGAGGAATGGCTGGCTGTAGGTTTGAGGCAGAAAATGTACAGGGTGAGCCTGGAACATTCCGTCTTACTAGAAAACAAAGGGAATTATAACAACCCCTGGGGTCACATCAGAAGGACGCAGGGGCCTATGTGACAGCTCTCTCAATGAGCCAAAACTGGGCATCAATAAGAATAATAACTGCTATGAACTGAAACACATCAAATATTTGAAAACTCCAACAGTTCAAATGATACTTAAACAAGTAAACAAGAAAACCCTTGTTAGGCACCATTAGAAGATACCTGAGAGCTTATTTTTGGTTCTGAAAACTGGTTAAAAAAAATCAAGTCCTTAATACATCTGTTATGTAAAAACTCTACCGAGTATAACTAAACAGTTGAGGGGAAATTCCCAGTTGATTAATGAAGAGAGAATTTACAGAAATTTTCGTCAGTGGCTACTAACAGTACAAAAAGGGAGCGAACAGGATAGTAAGTCTTCTGATGTCAGTTCACAAAAGTACTGTTGCTGCATCCGAAGCTGATCAAGCTTCTGGATATAACAAAGACAGAGGAACACGTTACATGACACCATGGGGCTGCAGTTAGTAAAATGTGGAAACTCTCCAGCAAAAAATGACTTTTATCACCAAATAAACAGCAAGGGGAATAAAGGGAGGGGAAACCTAATAATTAAAAGACTTTAAAATAAGCAAGCATTAGGAGTCCTGAATGCAAATAGATCAACTGTATAAATGGAAGGTGAGGCGTGGGACAGTGAAAATTTGAAAACTGATTGGATATTTGACATTAAAGGAACTCTTTAACTTTATATAGGTGATAATATTTTATTATGGTTCTATTATGGTTCTACAAATCTTTTAGAAAAACTTTTAGGAATACTGAAGTATGTATGAATGTCATATGTCTGGGTTTTTCTTCACAATAATTCAGTGGACTGGGGGGAGCAAGAGTACAGATGAAATAGGATGGTTAGTGATGAGCACACACAGTAGTGGAGGGTATCTTCTCTCTTACAGGAAGTTTTTAACATGAACTCAATTTTTGCCACCCCAAATTCTCCCCAAACAAATGGATACCATTTAGAGCTACTATGTGTAAAATTATCTTTTTGTAGCTCATTAACAGCTCAATACAAATTCTTTATTTAGTTGAATATCGGTATTTTTTCAAGTTAGTACAATGAACTAAATTGTTTTCCCATAGAAAAACACACTGTTTGAAATACATGATTTTTAATGAACTGACCATTGCAGCCTCATAGAAAGCTAAGCATTCTATCACAAAGGTTACACCTCACAGGGGTTAATGTTGGGATTAACAAATGTTGGGACCTATCCATTATTTCTCCTCCACCATGACTTTATTTCTTTCCGCTTAAATCTCAGGAACTTTCCTGTCCAGGAACCTCAACTCATCTGATAAATATTTAGTAATCTTTTCTTTTTCTTGGCTTTGTGGCTTCTGGGATTTCAGTTCCCCAACCAGCAACTGTACCCAGGCCATGGCAGCAAAAACCCAGAATCTTAACCACCAGGGAACTCCCCTTAGTAACCACTTGCTGAATCCAGAGTACATGAGTATTTGGATCAAAGTGGTCTTGCTCCCAATGACTTCATTCTTATGAGAAAGTGAAAACATGTAACTATGGGTAGCTGGTATTACCTGTTACGATCAATGTATGTAGCCTTATCTATCACATATGTAACCCAGTCTATCAGAAGCCCTCAGAACAGTGTTTGATTCTATCATCTACCTTCTCAGGCTGCAGGAGCAGGCAGTTATTGCGTTTTCTTAAGTTACAATACTTAACCTTGCAGAGTCTCATCTCCAAAATGCCTAACATACATCCTGTGCTGAGCGCTGTGTCTGTCACTTAGGAGGTGCTGAACCAACTCTAGTATCCCTTCTTTGGCAAACATCTATAATGTTGGACTGAGCACTGCTGCAATCATGGGTTACCAGCAGGTACTTTCATCTGATAATAAGCACTTCCAAAAAACTTTCAAGGCACAGAATTATGTTTTAAAAAGTCTCCTATGTGGCCAGCTATGCCCATTTGCAATCCTACAGGCTGCCTCCCCATTTTGGCATCTAACAAAGTAGCTTGCCTCTTCTCTCCCCACCCTTGAGCTACACACCCAAGTTCACCCAGAACTATGTGCTACAGTATGTCTGCAGACTAGCCCCACACGCTTCAGAATTCTCAATTTCCTAGCTTTCTTTGTCTTTGTAACTTAAGAGGCTGTAGTATGCTAACCCTAATGTGAAGAATGGGGTACTAGGACTTCCCTGGCGGTCCAGTGGTTAAGACTTCTTCCGTACTTCCAATGCAGGAGACCTGGGTTTGACCCCTGGTCGGGGAACTAAGATCCCACATGTCGCTCGGCATGGCCTAAAAAATGTTAATTTTTTAAATTAAAAAATAAAAGAATGGGATATGAGAACTTTTGAACCATGTTTTTTCTGTCTTTTGATTCTCTCAGTCCTAAAACATGCCTCAAGGTACAGGGAGTCTAAAATAAATATCCAGGTGTTGTGAAATTGCTGTTGGTTCTTGTGTTGGCAAATGGCCAAGGGAAAGAAACAACATTGTAAAACTTCATGGGTCCCTACTTTCTATCTGTCAATGTAGCCATCTTAGCGGATTCTAATTCACAGCTATTAATCATACCTGATTCATAGCTATTAATCACATCACCAAATCAGGCCCTGTTCAAAAGAGCTAGCCCTTGGTCATCAGAAACTTAAGCCAAAAGGGGGGAGGCGGGTCCTGAAAAGGCAGAAATGGTCTTTTGTTTAAATAGGAAAGAAACATTAGGACTCAGTGCAGTAAGATTGAGTATCAAAGATTTTAAAAAAGTAGACAAAACAAAATGTTTTATTATTAAAATAAAAAAACTTTGTATAAAAGCATAACAGATCAAAAGCTCTATTTACATTTATTGATTCAAGGTCCAATTATGCACCAAATACTGAACTGAACTGGCACAGCTACAGGCTGCAGATGCAAAGCAAAATGAACACACACACACTTTGACTCTACCTCTACAGAGAGATTTGATTCATGCCAAAACAGGGCAAGGGAGAGACAACACACGACTCTGCCCAGAAACTAAACTGGCAGAGATGGCAAGTTCTCAAACTGTTAAAAGTCACCCTCCTCCAAAAAAGGCACTTCTCAGTTATAAAAGTGCTTCAAACCTGAACATGAATCCTCTATGCCTGGCTTGTAATTTCTTCAAGAAAGCAAAAACTGCAAAGGATTGTAGTGGAGTTTAAGTATCAAATTTTCATGCAAAATAACCAAGAATTTATTTGAAACACTTTATGTTATGAGCTGAAATAAACTTGGCAAATTCAATTATCCTGAGGTTTGATTCCATGAATTCAAAGATTGGCCTACTCCTGAAGCCTCCCCATCTCAATTTCCTAGGATGGCTTTTCTACAATGATTTCAAGCTTAGTACTGTCCGCGAACCTTCATATTGTGACCAGTGGGCCAGATGCACATGGCAGAGGAAATCAGCAGCAACTAAGTCTCAACTGTGACAACTTGAATCACAAGCAAAATACACGGAATATTCTCCTCAGAAGCCTCCAAAGTCATATACTCCACTTGCCAACAATCACCTAATTCTTCCACATGGTCTTACGACTTTTGTGCCTTGATTCTGCTAAAAATGTTGACAAACACTATATCAGACCCAGTGTTTACAAGTGAGCAAGTTACAGGGATAGTCTCTGAAACTGGGTAGAGGTAGTTAATACTACCACTGTGTTTCTAAGTGCTTGGTTTTATGTGTGGATTCCAGGGCTATTTCAACGCCAATTAAATCCAACATGCTTTCATGAAACTGTCGTTTAAAAAGGATTCCGAAAACTAAATGATGGAGGAGAATCATTGGAAGTAAGAGGACAGCACGGGGCGAGGGTGGGCAGAAAAGCAAAGGAGACACTGCAGGAGGGCAGAGGACAGCTGGCACTACACTTCTGGGATGCCCAGACACACGTGCGCATTTAATGACGACAACTTGATTTGCCTATAAGGCAGACTGAGCCTCAGAATTCTTAACCCGGGTTTCCATCACATGACAAAACTGTAAACTTTAACAAGGAAGAGTTGCGAAGTGGAAGGCAGGTAGCGGATCTTCCAATTATTATCCCTGCATTTCAAACTCCTGTTTTAGACTGAAAGAGAAGAGGGAACATGTTAGGATATGGTTTTTGGCCTAAGAATTCTCTTATGAAAACTCTAATTCCAAAGGACACATGCACCCCAATGTTCACAGAAGCACTATTTACAATAGCCAAGACACAGGAACAACCTAAGTGTCCCCTGACAGAAGAACGGATAAAGAAGATGTGGTGCATATATACAGTGAAATACTACTCAGTCGTTAAAAAAAAAAAAGAATGAAATAATGCAATTTGGATGGACCAGTTGGATAGACCTAGAGATTATCATACTAAATTAGACAAAGACAAGTATCATATGACATCACTTATATGTGGAATCAAAAATATGACACAAATAAAAAGTTATTGATGAAAAAGAAACAGACTCACAGATCTAGAAAACAAACATGGTTACTAGAGGGGAAGGGAGTTGGGGGGAGGATAAATCAGAAGTTTGGGATTAGCAGTTACAAACTACTATATATAAAATAAATAACCAACAAGGTCCACTGTATAGCATAGGAAACTATAGTCAATAGTTGTAATAAACTGTAATGGAAAAAATACAAAAAAGAATATATTAACATGTAACTGAATCACTTTGCTGTATACCTATAACTAATACAATGTTGTAAATTAACCATACTTCTATTTTTAAAGTTAAAAAAATACTAATCATCTTCTGAGAGCCTAATTCACTCCTTTAAAAATGTTTCTATTGAGTTATAACACGCATCTTAAGTGCACAGCTTATATTTTACACACAAGGGCCCACAAGGGTCACCACCACCCAGAAGAAGGTTTGCAAGGCTCCCTGACGTCCCACGTGCCCCTCTTGCTTTCCATGTGATTGCTTTCCTGACTTCCACCTTCTCTTTATAAAGATAACAAAAATGAATAGGGGCGGGGTTTTGGGAGAGGACGGACACACGTCTATGTACGGCTTAGTCCCTTCACTGTTCACCTAACACAACCACAACGTTGTTAATCAGCTATACCCCAATACAAAATAGAGTTTAAAGTTTGAGGAAAAAAAAAATACGAAAAGTGCTTAAAAAAAAGTTTTTCAGGGAATTGCCTGGTGGTCCAGTGGCTAAGACTCTGCGCTCCTGATACAGGGGGGCTGGGCTCGATCCCTGGTTAGGGAACTAGATCCCACATGCCACAACTAAGACTCTATGTAGCCAAATAAATAAAAATAAATGTTTAAAAAAAAAAAAGCTTTTCAGATAACTTGAAAAAAAAAAATGAATGTTAAGGAAAAAAAAAACCCAAATTAAGATTGGGGTGCAGAAGAGAGAAAAACCAGCCCTACCTTTTCAAGTAAGCATGCACGTTCCCAAAGCCATGGTACTTGGCTAGGTACACGAGCACCCCAGTCGCACACCGCCCATCTCGCTGCCGACAGAAGCTGCAGTTGCAGATCCCGCGACATGGTGGGCAGTGCCAGTTCTGAAGGAGAAGCGTGAGAAGGCACCATTAAGTCAAACCTTACCACCCCTTACTTATCTACTCTTGTTTAACCTCTAAGGTAGGTGTCATCAATTGCATTCAGATCTTCTTTATTACTATTAAAAAAACAAAAACATAATGGGGTTAATGCATCACATTCCCATGGGAAATCCCGCAGAAAAGTCACACAACCACTACAAGTAGGAGGACTAGAGAACAGACTTCCCCTGAACGGCCAGGTCCCGAGCACTCTGCAAGTGCTCACAGCTATGCAGTACTATGAATTCATCTGCCTTTCAACACCAAGAGCTCAATCTCTCTGCCCCATCAGCTCAAGGAACAGCTGACCTTGGAGCCTACAGGACCACCTGTTCAAGGCACTTACTGGGTCTAGCAGAGCATCCCTGACTTCTTCACCATAACGGTTTCGAAGGCAGGGACCACAGAATTGGCCTCGAACGCCCCAGCACTCTGGGTTTCTACAGTTTGTCTTGGTATCGATAGTTTTCTGGCGGCACTGATGACAAGTTGACCCCTGCAAATAAGAAGAAAAACATAAACACTACTCTTTGTAGAGAAAATCTTAAAAGAATGTCATTCTCTGGGAATCCCCTGGCAGCCTGGTGGTTAGGACTTTGCTTTTACTGCTGAGGACAAGCCTCACAAGCAAGAAAAAAAAAGAAAGATAAATTTGACTACAAAAAAAAAAATTAAAAGAAAAAAAATGTCCTTTTTTGTTGGTAGTCTGATCTTTTCTCTTTGAATCCTACCTCACATCTATACACACACGTATACACCAGGTCCTGGAAAGTATTGAGCATGGTGATTCCATTCAACTGGCAGATGCAACAGTTAATGTTATCAAAACTACCTCAAGAAAAGATCTTTCGAAAAAGAAAGCTTGCCCATATCTTGTCTGTCTTTAGCACACCACCACATCCTCAGCACCTATCTACGTAGGCACATGTACAGCCTACTTATGTTGAATGAAATGAATTTCTAAATTGTGAAAAGATTTAATGCTACTGAAGATTTACCTAAGCAACCACTACTACTGCAAATCTACTAATCAGGCTAAATCCCAAGGATGCTACAAAATTCTCTTTTCTTACATGAAAAAAATACCCAGGCACACATTCCATGAGCTAAGACCATTAGAACATGAGCAAAATGTTCTGTCTCTCATATACGGGGACATCTACAGACATTATTTAGAGGCTCTGACCAGTGAACGGTTATAAATCTTCTCTCGGGAGCTGTTGCAGATGTTCTCCAACTCTTCCTCCGTGATTTCATCCACCGGGCGAACGACATGAGGAAGGGTCATGGGTCCGGGGCGACGACTTCGGGGCATGTCATCTTCCTGCATAACGAGAACCAAGGAACAGCGTCCTTCCTGGCTCGCTTTCCCCAGCTCTGACTCTTAGATCCTCGCTTTGTCACTCCTTCACAGAGAACTCAACCTGGAAATTGTTCTTGGAACTTACGGAGAAAGGGGCTTTATTTACTAAGGATCACAGAACAGCATCATTGAAACAACTCCTACAATGAAGAAGAGCCCAAGAAAACTTTTTAATTCTCTTGCCTGCTACCAAGAGCCATCAAAACAAGTTGATGTGACCTTGACCATTGTGGACGGTTTGAGAAGGCCATTTAATACAGATCCCTGGGGACTTCCCTGGTAGTCCAGTGGCTGAGACTCCACGCTCCCAATGCAGGGGTCCCAGGTTCAATCCCTGGTCAGGGAACTAGATCCCACATGCTACAACTCGGAGTTTGCGTGCCACAGCCAAATTAATTAAAAAAATTTTTTTAAGTTAAAAATATATATGGATCACTGGTGTTGAGGTTGTGTATGCTCCCATCCTGTGTCCATGATCCCTGGACCCACAGAAGATGACAAACAGAAGAACAGGCACAAAAGCAGAGAACTCACATTCATGTAGCCGACCATGGGCTTCCTCTTCCTCACCAACACGTACTTGTCCTCCTCCTCCTCCTCCTCCTCCGTGGGCAGGGCCCTAAGCGACCCAAGGACCCGGGACCTGGACCTGGTGAGCGGACGAGCTCTCCGCTCAGGGTTTCTCCTGCAGGCGACACCCGGAAACGTGCGCCTCCTGGGTGTCTTTGGACGCTGAAGAAAACACAGAGGACGGACCCACTTATTCCAAAATGCCAAGTGGCAGCTTCTCCTGAGGCAGGTTTTCCCCTAAGTAAAAGGAATGCTCCACCTGCCATTTTCCTTCATCCTTTCTGCAACGCATGGGAAATGAGCCCAGAAATAACACAGCCATTGACATTCAGCTTCTCTAACACCAAGCCCAGTTTCTCCTAAACTCAGGGACGACCTATTTATTCTTGACTTGATAAAGATGTAAGAAAAAAATTTTGTTTTCTAAAAAAAACCTTTTTTACAATATCTCTTAAGCCCTGAAACATACTCACTGCCCAAGAGAGAAATGTATGTATGGTTTTCCGTGTTCTGTTCTCGCTCAGGCAGAGGTGGGAAAGGAAATCTTTTTTTTGTCCCAGAGCCGACTGGCCAGATCCCGAATAGCACAGGCTTAGCTCCTCAGAATACAATCACGTATATTACGCCATGACTTGGTTAAGAAATTGTTTTTTCTTTTTTTCTCATTTTCAGATTTTAAAAAGATTGATTATCATGCCAAGTAGAAATGTTCCAAGGGCTGGAGTTAGAGAAAAAAACAACTTTCAATTTTTCTTCCCTATCCCTGAGGGGCTTAGTTTATTTGGGTGGGAGGGAGAGAAATAACCAATCAAAAGGCATTTGAGGAACTACTCTGACAGTTCAGTACTTAAGACTCCCATGTTTCCACTGCATGTGGGTTCAATCCCTCGTGGGAGAACTAGGATCTCAATGACACGCAGCACAGCCAAAAAAAAAAGGGGGCGATTTGAGCCCTATAGGTGCTTGGCATGGGTAGAGGGTCTGGCCTGGGGTGCAAGGAAGAGGTCCTAGAGATCTTTTAGAAGACTTTCTCTACCACCTCTGTCTACAAAATCACACAAAATAACAAAATCGAACTTTAAACTATCAGAACACCTCAGACCTACCCCAAACACCATTACACAAACAAATATTTGTACTTACTGAACTGGGGCCCGGCAGGGAACGCCTCCCAGGGAAGGAGCCAGGGAAGCTTTCTAATTCTGACATTAGTTTTGCAAGCTAGAAAGGGAGGAAGTTAAACAGAAATTATTGGTTTATAGTAACTGCTGTAAGCAAGCAAATTCTAGAAATCACAGCGGCACGACTCACAGTTTGTTTGCCCTGTACATTTCCCAAAACGTTCACAGATTGAAAAAAAGAAAAGTTAGAAAAGGGAAAGAAATACATGCTAAAGCATAAGCATACGTGATGACGTTTTCAGAGCTACATGGAAAATAGTTCTTAGGACACGGATATAAGCAACAAGTGGCTTAGAGAAATGCTGGGAAGGGTCATCAGTTCTGACACCTTCAAAGTCAGATACCTACCATTGCTTTGTTTTGCTTTATATTTAAAGCCCTTTTCTCCAAGAAATTCATGCCACTTTCATCTTCCGAGTCAGAATTGGAGTCGGTCACAGAATTCTCTGAGGGCCCAGGGGGCACAGTTCTTTTGCTGGCTGCTCCCCTGGTGTGTCGTGTGGGAAACTTCATGGCCACGCGGAGGGGTCCAGACCGTGTACCCTGACTGCGGGTCCGACAGCCCTCACGGTCCACCTGCAGCCTCTGGTCAATCGGAACAAGTGGGGCGTTAATGACTAGCTGACGGTCACACAGTCTGCAAGACTGTGACGACACAATGCCTTTGGAACAGAAGATACTTGCAAATACATTCGCATTGAACACTTTAATTGTCAAGTTTAACTGATGGCTCTGAGCAACAAAATCAGGAATTACTAACAAACACAACAACCGAGGGCCAATTAACTCAGGAGCTTTCCTGGGACACTCCGTAATAAGCCACAGTCACAGCCCCTAGACAGTGGTTTGGAGTCATTTTTTAAACTATGAAAAATCCCAGCTTCTTTTTTCACTTCCTTAAAAAATAGAATATGTATTTTAAAAGAATTCCCCTAGGGACAAATATATGCTCTCTCATAAACATGATTTCCATACTTATGGTAGTATTAAACTATACTAAAGATGTCTCAATGCTCTATCTGACTACCTCTCTTGAAATCTCAAGGACAGAAGAGCCTGGCAGGCTACAGGCCGTGGGGTCACAAGAGTCAAACATGACTTAGCAACTAAACAACATTAACAACAACTCTCTAAACCATTTTGTGTAAGCATAAAATTTTTTAAATTTCAGATTCCAAAAGTAATGTTTCCATCATTTAAAATGTTAAAGTTGGCCACCGGGGAAAATCAGAATCATGAGATATCACTTCCCACCTACTAGCAGAGCCAAATAAACAAGTATGGCAGGGATGTGGAAAAATCAGATCCTGCAAACACTGGGAGGAGTGTAAAATGGGGCAGCCACTTTGGAACAGTCTGACAGTTTCTCAAAAGGTTAAACATAGAGACTATATGACTCAACAATTCTACTTTTAGGTATATACTCAGGTGTGTATATCCACACAAATACTTGCACATGAATGTTCACAACAGCATCATTCATAATAGCCAAAAGGTGCCAACAACTGAAACATCCATCAACTGATGAACAGACAAACAGAACATGATATAGTCTGAATATTTATAGCTGAGTACTATTCAGCAATAAAAAGATATGAAGTAATGGCACATGAAAGAAGCTCAAAAACATATTGCTAAGTGAAAGAAGCCAGTCACAAAAGACCACGTATTGTTTGGTTCCATTTATAAGAAATGCCTGGAATAGGCAAACGTAGGAGAGAAAATAGATTGGTGTTTGCCAAGAACTGAGGGTGTTGGGAAAGGATGCAAAGTGACTGCTGATGGGAACAGGGTTTCTTTTGGGGGTGATGAAAGCATTCTGAAATTGATTGTGGTGATTGTTGAAAACAAACAAAAAAGAGAGCAGTAAAAAATACCACCCATTAAAAAAAAAAAAATACCACCCATAAAGTCCCAAAATGGAAGACCCATTTTTTTTAACATTTCAACAACCTCACTGCTTTTTATAACCTTTATGTTATTTTTAGTGTGCGGATTGAGAGAACATAAAATGACAAAAAAAACTTTTACAAATTCTTAAGCTTTTGAATAGATTGGCATTTTCTCAGTCGCAACAAACAGCATCTACAAAAACTGAAACACTGCCCAGAAAGGATTCAGGCTAGAGACAATGTTTGAGTCATACCCAGATTCGCAGAGCAGTGCTGCCAATAACTCCAGTATTCACTGATTCAGATCAACCTCATGTCTTAAGAGAAAATATTATACTATCTTGAAGTTAGGTCATGATAAAACACTCCCTGGCCAGATGTTCTCACTTATGTCAGCGCCGCGCAACTGTGGTCCCAGGCTGTGGACCCGTGGCAGACCACAATGAGCAGGAGAGCATGCACCTGAAGCACACTTCCTTTGTCGAGAAAGTGTTGCTAAGAAGAAAACATGTGCAGAAGTAAACAGCATGCTCAGATAAGAGTGGAACTGAGGTGTATCCTTGGCAGCAGCGTCCTGAGCAGGACAATAGAGGTTAAAGGTAAGACAGCAGGCAAAAGAAAAGCCAACGAAGGAGCAACAGCGGAAGCAGGCAGGGCCCTAATTGTCATTACCTGCACGAGTTATCACAGGCTTTCCAGATGCAGGTATAGATCCACTATGGGAATCAACATTTCCTGAAGGCCTACTCTATGTCAGGCCCTGGGCTGGGCACTTAAAATGTGACTACAGCTCATCTTGAGGACATATCTGCTTCCTCTGATTGGGCTCGATTTCTGTGGCCACAGAAATCTGCACACTGGCCAATCGTTTCTTACAAGTTTCTAAGATTTTCAGAGACTACAAAAATCCTCAAACCTTACTATTAGAAATGTATTAGCAAAAAACTGCTTTAAGACATGAAGAAGATACTCTTAAAACTTTCTTAAAAGATCAACAAGACATTCTGGCATGACTAAAATGAAAATCATAAGGAAAAAAGATTTTTAAGCAAGTATGTCATGCCTCTAAATGTACCTTATTGCTTGATATTGGTGAAATTCTCAAACTCACCATTCCATCCTGTATCTCACTCTCTGAGAAACCGCAAAACGATTCATCATCAGAGTCGGCATGAAAAATACTGGCCAGTTCGTTAGTGACATCTGGCCTTGGTTTCTGTAAAAATCCACAATGGTCTAACACATCTTGCACCTCACTTTCTGAAAAGCCGCAGAAAGATTCATTATCAGAGTCCTCATAAAAAACATTTGCCAGTTCTTCACTGATATCTGACCTGAATTTAGGTTTCTGTAAAATAAATAAATAAATGTGGTTGTGCATTTTTTTTTCCTTTTTCAAGAACCAATTTTCCGTAAACCGTGCAGAGAGCAAATCACATTTACAAGTGCACTACAAGAGAATAGCTTTTGTTACAAAGAAAAATGGTTCAGAGGTTTACAAATGATTTCTGAGCAGTTATGGCAAATCATCAGGCATGTTAGGTTAGGCGACATTTCAAAAGGATAGAATAAGTAGCTAATCTACCTCCAACAATTACTACCTAGAACCACAGCAAAAAGTGAAATGAAATTACAGTGCATACTGTATTTTCGTAACAGCTGTATAGAAATGTAGGCAAAAAGCAAGCAGTTTTAATCACGCACAAAGCATTTGGGGCATTTTGAGCACTGCAGACTCCATTCTGTTTATTCGCAGGCAGCACTTACTGTGTTTGCAAAATTATCAGAAGCAAAGCTGTCACAACTGTCATCAGAGGATGACGGGGTTTCCATGGAAATCAACTTCACATATCTGAATTTCTTGAAGTTCTTCTTTGCTCTGCAATCCTTTTGCTGCAAACAGAAATGGCCATACTATTAAATGGGATGCTTGCTGCAGAATCTAAAGAAAGGTATCATTTTTGAGTTGAGTAGGTTCAAAAAGCACAGAGGAGTTATGTCCATTTCTTATACCCTACAAAGAAAAAGGAGGGTTTGCAATTGCTACAAAATTTTCCAAAATCAGGTAAAATCCTAAAGAGAGATCCCTCTGCGGGAAAATTAGTATCAATTTATTCAAATACCTGTGGAACTACCCTTTAACCCACCTTAAAAACTCCCAAACTCTTAACATTATACTGAGCTCCCAAGGCGTTAAATGCTAACCTACTAAAATCTGCCCTTAAAAAAAAAAAATTAGACTGTACTTCAAAATTACAAAATGGTAGAGTGATTTCTTTCCCTCAGCCAAAATCAAGCTAATGAGGTCTTTCTAAGTAAGCTTTGGCGTCTGAACTGTGATGCTAATTTCTCAAACCAGGAAACCCAGGCAGCACCTCTATTTCAAGATGGCAGACTTTCAAACAGGCCTTGTGCCAATCAGGAGGGGAACAGTGATTTCTGCACAAGTCTTTACAAATCAAACATATGAACCCAGTCAACAAGTGTACAAGAACCAAGTTAAAGGTCAAACAGTCCTCTAAACCCAGGCAGAATGCCCGATTCCACTTCAGGGCACTATTAGGCTGGCCATTCAGCTCTTTCCATAGTTCCATTGTTGCACAAGTCTTAAGTTTTTACAAGTCCCTTTTATTAGACACATATGACCTATGGATATGAAAATGTTTCTTTCCTTCATAAACAATGAAAGCCTGGCACCAATCATCAGAATATGCACCTGACATCTACTTCATGTAAAAAAGATAGTAGCTTCTACCATTTCTTCATATTTAATAAGAGATTTCTTAAATGTTGTACAGTCACTAAATCATGTCCAACTCTTTGCAACCCCATCAAATGCAGCACGCCAGGCTTCCCAGTGCTTCACTACCTCCCAGAGTTTGCTCAAACTCATGTCCATTGAGTCAGTGATGCTGTCTCATCCTCATACTGCACCCTTCTCCTCCTCTTGCCCTGAATCTTTCCCACCATCAGTCTTTTCCAGTGAGTTGGCTCTTTGCACCAAGTGGCCAAAGTACTGGAGCTTCAGTATCAGTCTTTCCAATGAATATTCATTACTGTTCTATTACTTCCTATATTTTCATATCTGAAATATGGCCATGGAATAACAGAAGTGACTCCATACTGAAAACTTTAAGAAGGCAAGTTCTGCTACGTGTCCCACAAAATAATGCCAAGATGTGAGGAGTTGAGGGAACAGAGCTTTCTGATCTTCTTTGTACACCTGTTACACACTTCTCTTGCAAATAAAATTATTCTCATGATGGTGGAACCCAACCACCCAGTCAGTGCTTCTCAACAGACTCCATTCAATCATCTTAGCAAGTTTTAGTCTTGTCCTTTTAAAAACCATGAAAATGTGATAACAGGTAGAGGTACTACCTACTAATGAAGTCTCAGAAACTCCCAATTTTCCAGATGAACAAATTAAAAGTACCAGGTGGGTGAAATAAGATTGCCCCAAGATCACAGGGCTGGAAGGAGTCTGCAGTCTCCTAAAATAGCTGTGCTCCTCACACTGCTGCAGGAATTATCACCATTTCCGGTGGCTCAATGGAAAAGAATCCTCCTGCAATGCAGGAGCAGCAGGTGGGGGTTCAATCCCTGGGGCAGAAAGATCTCCTAGAGGAGGGCATGGCAGTCCACTCCAGTATTCTTGCCTGGAGAAGCCATGGACAGATGAGCCTGGTGAACCACAGTCCATGGGGTTGCAGAGTCAGACGGGACTGAAGCGACTCAGCACTCACGCCTGCAACCATCAGTCTACCTGCCTGCAGTCAGAGGCACAAGACTGCCTCAAGGGAGGTATTCTATTGGAAGCTCCCAGGGAAATACTTGCTGGGCGTTAACAAGTCAGCGCATGCGAAGTTAGTTAACAGGCAAATGTATGTTTGGAGGATAAGACAGAAAGAAGCAACACAAATGGTCATGGACTTTCCTGGCAGGTAGGTAATAACAATACCATTCAACAGTTTTTTTGTGCCAGGCACTAAGCATGCTTTCACACTAATTTCTTGCAACAAAGGTGGAAACTGAGGCTTAGAGTGGTGAAACAAAGTATTCAAGTCCCATGATGGCTCAAATTTGAACCCAGGGATGTCAGATTCCAGGTCCTGCTAACATGTGGTTTTCTTCCTCCTGAAAGCCAACGCCAAGGTCCATTCGGGGAGAGGGATCTCTGAAACTACGCCCCCAACACGCCCTCCCCAACCCACTCCCGGAGTACCCCAGCCCCCTCACGTGGGCCCCTTACCCCTGCTATTTATTTTAAGCTTGTCACTTTCTTCCTCTTCACCCAACCCCCCACCCTCTAACCTCTCCTGGGGCAGACCCTCCGTTCCGGTTTCCGTTAGAGTAAACAGTAACCTTTCCATGTTCCATTCAGGGCTGCGTCCTGTTGCTGCAAGAAAGGCTGGGGGGTGGGGAAGGGAATGGGAAGCGAGTGAATGGTCGGCGAACCTATCAGATCATCATTGCACTAATCACCTCCTATGACTGTAAGTGCCCTTTCAAGTGTGCGCAACCCAAGTTCTACAGAGAGCGGTTTTCAAGACCTTTAAACTCCAAACCCATCAACTCTCAGCAGTTAGATGCGCTTGCCGGCACTGCCAAGGCAAAAACAAGCAGGAAGCTAGCGCAAGGGTCCCCAGTGCGCGCCGGAGGGTGCGTGAGTAGACACTCATCCTCCCCGGGCTGCACGCGGGAAAGGGCCAGGACGCTGCAGGGCAGCACCCTCCTCCACGTCCCGCTCCCCTCGGACAGGGCTCGGACCAGCAGACACAATGGGGGACCGGTCCGCCCCTGCTACTCACAGCACACGTGTGCCTGGGACGCACGTGGCCTTGAGCTCCCCTGGCTGCCAAGCATCCTACAAACCTCACAACTCTCTGACCGTCCACGCGCCGGGTGTCACGCCCGCTGGGCACAGTCTCTAAAATACCCCCAAGTGCACAAAATCTGGGGCTTGCTAAATGGGTGCCGCCCAGGACTGCCAACCCTTGATAAGGACACTCCGCCGGCAGAGTTGGAGGGGTCGGCCCGCCCCCAGCACCCACCGCGCCCATCCCGCGCCTTAGCTCGTCCAGCCTCACCCGCACGCGGCGAGCGTCCATGCTGGCGGCCGGCGTTGGAACGGGGAAAGCTGAGCAGCCGCGCGCGCCGCCGTCCCTCCGCGTAGGAGCCGGAGCCCTCGCCGCGCGGGCCGGCGGGGGGGTGTGCAGAGCCGGGGCCGGAGGGGCGGGGCACGGCCGACTTTCCCGCGTTGCGGCGCAGGTCCTGCCAGCTTTGGTAACGGCCCACCCGCCTGACACCCACTCGGCCCCGAGAAAAAAAGCAGCCCTTCCAGATACGCTAAAGTCCAGTAATAATCTTGCAGCCCCCTAAGATCCGCCTTGGAAAAGTAGTGCCTTGGAAGCTCCAGGACCTCCCTCTTTACACAGCTGCACGGTCCCGAGAGAATGGCGCGAAAATGGGTCGTATTGCCCCGGGGACAGCAGCCTAATTTGCATGAATTCTGGGGCTGGGAGGGGAAAGCTGGAAATTGGGGGTAATGGAGAGCGGTGCCGGCCTCACTTAGCACTTTCCCTGAGGCGTGCGGTTTACGTTATTTAAAATAAAAATCAAAGACTGGAGCATGAACTCCCAACAGACCAGGCACTGTCCCGCGATATAGCTAGCACCTCATCTGGTAACACCATTATCTAAAGCAATAAAATGAGCTAAATCCCTTATCTTTCTTTCCAGAAAGCTAAGGGAAGTTCTTTTACATAAGACTTGTTACTTTTAAATAAGAAAGGTCTGATGTTAGTTAAGACTTAACTATGGAATAATAAAGTCTAGAGATTATAGAAGAATAGAAGCTAAAGACTGTAATAATGTGATTTGGGGCTCCTTTCTTCTGTCAAAATTTGTAATCACTTAAGTCAGAAGGAACGTGAGATTTTTCATTGCCCTTTGAATCGAACCTGACATTACGACGAGATCAAGTGTGAAGCTTTAAAACAAATGTTTGCAGAGTAGGAAAAAAAGTTGCTTCTAGAAGAAAAAGTTAAATTGGATTGCTTTAAAAGACGCTAATTATAATCTTACATTTTAAAACAAATGCTTGAAATGAAACATCAGTTTTCTCCTTCACAACTTCTCTTGGGAATACTTCTTTGCAGGAAGAGAATGCGTGAACATAACTGCTTCCTCTCTGGGTGTACTGACGACAAAAACTTGTGAACAAGCGACGCATGAGAATGTGGATTGGAAAAATTGGAGGGGACTTGGTCGGAGTCTTCGAGCCTTTCTAATACACGCCGGCTTCATGGTCACTCTGCCACAGTGCCAGGGAGAAAGAACTCCGGGTCTGGAAGGTAGGCGCGCTAGGAGAGGTTGTTGGTCTGACTTCGAAATTCCTTGGCAGTAGTGGGCCCTCAATAAATATTTGTTGAGTAAATAAATGACTGCATGAATGGTGAGAGAACTAAAATTGTCCTTACTGCTGTGTCCTTGGAAGTGCAATCTTGTGCCACTAAAATTAAACATATGAGAATTTGGAATTGCTAAACTACTAAGGAAAGGGAAGATTAAGTCACTTTGCCTACTGGTTCTGATAAGAAGGGCTTTCCTTGTGGGTTAGTCGGTAAAGAATCCACTTAGTCCTCCTGGGGCACCATAATATAGTTTACATTATTTTTTAAGGTTAACAGCACTGGAGTATTCTTTTTAGTAATCAGGAAAATGCAAATTAAGACAGATAGTTTCACTCAGACTGGCAAAAAAATTTAAAGCCTGTTAAGACCATGTGTTGGTAAAGATATGAAGAAATCCCTGCAATGATGTTATTAGTGTAAATGTTTCACTTTGGAGAGCAATTCAGGAATGTTCAGCAAAACCACTTACAGGTATATACTCTAAAACAAAGTTTTTCACACTGTAAATTAGAATCCATTGGCAAATTGTGAAGTCAATTTAGTGGGTTGCAACTAGCATATTTTCTTCTTTCTTTTTGAAATAGAATTTAAAAAATAACAGTAGTGTATTGTTTCCTGAAACTCTTGTGCCTGTCTGTGTGTATGCTGTATAAAATGTGTACTTCTTATTGTGCTTCACCATCAACAAGTTTCCAAGACCCCGTCCCAGAGAAGGTGCTTGGAGGCTTGTACTAGTGCTCTCTTGTTTGTTCAGCTGAGGCTTGCCAAGACCTCTAACACCAGCACTATTCTGAGAACTAGGACATAAAGCCCAGGGAGTTTACATTCTAGTGGAGGAGCAGAAGTAAACAATAAGATAATTCCAGATGTGATCACTTCTCAGAAGAAACTGTTAGTTGCTTAGTGGTGTCCGACTCTTTGTGACCTCATGGACTATAGCCCACCAGGTTCCTCTGTCCATGGAATTCTCCAGGTAAACGTACTGGAGTGGGTTGCCATTTCCTCCTCTAGGAGATCTTCCCAACCCAGGGATCGAACCCAAGTCTTCTGCATTGCTGGCAGATTCATTACCCTCTGAGCCACCAGGGAAGCAAAGATCAGAATAAAGGGATAGGAAATGAAAGAGGTACCAACTCAGATAATAGAAACAGGAAAGGAGGTGTCATCTGATCAAAAACCCAAATAAAGACAAGGGAGGGGAACTTCCAGTGGCTGAGACTCACTCCACACTTGCAAAGCAGAGGGCCCGGGTCCAATCCCTGGTCAGGGAACTAGATCACACATACCACAAATAAAGATCCCATATGCCACAACTTAGACTTGGTGCAGCCAAATAAATATATTTTAAAAAAAAGGAATCCATAGGAAGAAGAAGGAAGTGCTGGCTTGAGACAGTGAACAGCTAGTTCACAGGTTCTAAGGCCGTGAATAGAAGCTCAGTAGCAGACCATACTGGACTACAGAAAGCTAGAGAAAGAGAGGCCATGGGAGAGATCACATGGGGGCTCCCTGGCCATGGAAGAAGCTTGGACTTTACATCAGGTATGAGGGGAAGGATTCGGATGAAGAAAAGACCCAATCAGACTCCATGAGCTGTGTGAACTATAAACGGGGACGGGGGAGCAAGAGTGAGACACTTAGGAGCCTCTAAAGGAGAAAGTGATGTTTTGGACTAGGGTGACTGTGGGACGAGGGAGAAGTGGTCAGATTTCAAGATACATCATTTTGAAGGTAGAGCTAACTGGATCAGAGGAATGGATTGTTCATTCATAGTAGCATCACTCCAAATATTTGTTGTGTATCATAGTAAGATATTACAAACAATCTAAATGGCCCTCAGAAAGGAAATAGAGACAGGAACAGTGGTATATTCATACAACAGAATTTGAACAGTGTTCAAAGGAATGGCATAGCTTACGTGCATCAGTGTAGGTAAATCTTAATGTTGAATGGAAAAGCAAATTGCAAACATTTTGGTAAAGGATACCCCTTATGCAAATTTTAAAAACGCAAAACATACATAAACTGTGAAAGTATATAAAGACATGAGCAATTAGAATAGGTAGAGGTTAACGGAGGGAAAGATGGAGGACAGAGGGGAAGATGAGGTTTTCCAGTCTATCACTAATGCTTTCTTTAAAAATAAACAGTATGGGGACTTCCCAGGTGATCCAGTGGCTAAGACTCTGCGTGCTCAGTGCAGGAGGTCTGGGGTTCGATCCTTGGTCAAGGAGCTTATTCCACGTGCCACAAGTAAAGATCCCATGTGCCACAACTAAGACCTGGGAAAGCCAAATAATTAAATAAATAAATATATTAAAAAATAATAAATGGTACTAAGAAAAAATGGCAACGTATTCAGTGTGAGTAGTAGATACATGAGTGTCTTATAATTTCACTTTTTGTGGGCTTTTCTGCGTCTGAAACATTTTATGATAAAAAATTTTTTTAAAACTTGAGTGAGACAGTTGTCCTGTCAATCAAGACATATATTGTAGTGTTAAATATGCAGTCCTGGGATTTCCTTGATGGTCCAGTAGTTAAGAATCCACCTTCCAAGGCAGAGGACCTGGGGGGAGGGGTGGTTTTGACCCCTTGTTGGGTAGGGGAAACAAAGATCCCACATGCCACATGGTAACTAACCCCATGCACCACAATTGGAGAAGCCTGCCCACAGCAAAGACCCAACACAGCCCAAAATATATGTGTGTATATATATATACATGCAGTGTCCTATAAAAGGGAATGCCAGTTAGTGGTGTAATTTTAGCTACTTCATAAAGGTTTTAAGTCACTATGTTAATCATATACTGGTAAAATGTTCATTTTGAATGAAAGACACAGATGAGTAAGAATGGAAATCCAGTGAGCAGAGATGACGAGGCCACTGGCCAGGGCAACAGATAGTAGGCACATACCTGACATTGCATAAGCACATACCAGACATATACAGACAGTATCTGATCTAAGGGCTGTAAATACAGCAGGTCCTCAGTAACTACTTATTACCAACTAGAATGATTGTGGGAGGAATTTTAAATCTGTGAAACATTCTAAAATACCAATCTCCTGTAACAGAGCTTTGAACTCCTCAGGCTATTATGAACTTTCAGGATGGTTGTATGCTGTCTCATAGCTTTTATTCACTTTGCACAAAGAATTTCATTTCCTATTAAGTTTGGTACTTGACCCTGAGGACCTGAGCACTCAGCACCTATAGAATAACAAGATTAATTAAGTCAATCTCAACCTTGAGATGCTTGGTTTTAGGACAAAGAGTGCAAAAATTAATAAGAGGTATCCCTTTTAGATGGATTTCAAAACAAAGCTAATGTCCCAGTAGGCCTGCTGCTCTAGTCCCACCCACCTTTCCTCCTTTCAAGCAAGGTAACTTGAACCCAAGCTGCTCTGTAAATGAGAATCCCTCAATAGCCACCACACACGTGGGGACAAAGGGCTGGGAGAGTTGTCACTGTGTTTGTGGATATAGACAGGTTGCAGTCTGTCAGCTGACAAATCTCTATTTTAAATAACCCCCAATTATTGATTTACTTGCCCAGTGCCTGCTTTCAGGATGCACAAAGGCAAGAAACCAAAAAGCTCTAAAGTTACCCTTCTGTTGCCAGAAGTCACTCTGCACGAGGGCCTAGCCCATGACCACCCTGGCTCAGTCAAATTCATAAATCCTACACCTC